ATAATAATAATTTATAAATTATCAAGGGTTCATGAGAGAGCAGGGAATGGGGAGGGAGGGGGAAAATGAGGAGCCGATACTAAGGGCTCAAGTAGAAAGCAAATGTTTTGAGAATGATGATGGCAGCAAATGTACAAATATGCTTGACACAATGGATGGAGGTATGGATTGTGATAAGAATTGTACGGGCCCCCAACAAAATGATGAAAAAACAAACAAACCCAGACGCTATTCTTTCTGATAGCCAGGCACCACCTAGTTTCTCCACCACACTTTGCTAAAGCATATATGTCTTCATGAGGGCATCATCAAGCCGGGTCATGTCATAAACTAATTGTTCTTCTATTGGCCTAGAATTAAGCACAAACCCCAAATCCATTTAGGCATCTATGGTTTATATATGTCTCTGGTTCACATTAGAGACGCCATTCTTGTTCTATTATGTAGAGAACATTATCAATTATCCCCCTGGGGAGTCCCTTCCACTGCCATCAAGTCAATGCTGACTTACAGCCACCCTATAGGGCAGGGTAGAACTGCCCCTGAGTCTCCGAGTCTGCACATCTTCACAGGAGTAGGGAGCTTCATCTTGCCCCTGTGGTGCTGGCTGGTGGTTTTGAACTGCTCACCTTGTGATTACCAGCCCAATTCATAAGCACTGTGCATTGGTAGTTTCATTAGTTTAGCCAATGGTATAGAATGTAAAACACTGCTGAGGAAAGGAAATTATGCACATATAGGCCAGCTGTGAATGCACAACACATGAATTGTTGACTTGTACAGTTGACTCCTAAGTGATTGAACACAATTGAAACATACAATGGGGGTTAGTGATAGGGCAAATCTTCCAACAGTAGTCGTGCACAGCAGCAGAGCCACGCCTACCAGATTCATAAAAGTCATAATGAAGCAAGGTCCTTGACCAGATTTTAACATTGGTAAAGCGGGACAGAAGTGGGACACCATTGATAAAACTCATATCCTGGCGAAATAGCCACACGGCAGCCGAAAACCATATACCCTAGCTTGTCGTGCATTCTTTCCAAAAATCGGGACTTTTTTAAAACGCCGCGGGACATGGGAAAATTTGTTAAAAATCGAGACTGTCCCGCCAAAAGTCTGGTCACCTTAAACAAGGAGGGCATTAAGTTAATAAGTATATGGTAGTTCTGGGCCACCATTCATTGGACAATCAAGGCAAGAGATTCAAACCAAAGTTCAATGTCTGCCAGATCTATGCCCTTGGGCCAGTGTTCATCTGCTTCTTCTCACACTCGGGAGTTTTGCCACATGCCCAGTGACTACTGGTGAGTCCAAGGTAAAACCCAGTTCACTTAGTGGGGTTTCCACATCGGGTGAGGAATAATTCTTAATGTTAATGGAGGGATTTTCAAATTCTTGGTGAATATTGGAGTTACCTCTTCTGCTATAAACTTCACTCTCCTATGAAAGCATCTGGCGGTGGGATACAAATAAAAAATAAGTCTTGCCTCATTCGGAGCCTGTTCCAATAGCTTTTGGCCCCACTAAGGACTTAGACCACTTCTTACTTAGTCCTGATACTTCCATGGATTTGTTAGGCTCAAGTGCTTATCCAATGGAATTGGATAGGCTGAGATCTTAACCAAATGAAACCGCTATTTACAATTAACAAAGATGGGAGGGCTTTCTATCAGAACGAGTTCAAAAAGAAGGAGCTGCTTGCTGTTCGTAAGCACTGATGATGCAAAAAGACAACTGAAGATGCAACAAGACAACCGAGCACCCTTTAACCTACTTCTCTCCGACCTTCTCTCATGAATTCCTGAAGCATGATGGACCACTGTTCAGCTGATGTGGGGTGGGTCTTATCCACAGAACCCATTAAAATCCAAATAGACATATTGTCCTGAATCAAGTTGGGTTCCTCCCACCCTCCAAACGTGTGTCCGTTCCAAGTGGCTTGGCAGTTGTGTTAGGTCCGGAGCCAGCACGTTGGTGCTGACGCTTAGTGACTCTGTGGACAGCAGGAGGAAACACCACCACGCCCTGCCCTGCCCTCCCCATTGCTGTTCTGTTTGTCCCTAGTGCTGCAGCCACTGTGTCAGTCCATCTTGCTGAGGGCCTTCCTGTTTATCACTGCCCCTCCACTCCACCAACCATGATGCCCTGGTCTCTCCTGACCACATGTCCCAAGTGTGTGGGGCAGTCTCACCGTCCTTGCCTCTGAAGAGCATGCTGGCTCTCCTTCTTGCGAGACATGTCTGTTCCGTTGGGCAGTCCACGGGCTTTCAATAGTCTACTCCAGCACCAACATTCAGACAAACCAATTCTTTGGCTTTCTTCATTCAATGTCCAACTTTCACGTGCGTATTAGATGATGAAGACGCCATGGCTTGGGTCAGCTGAACCTTCGTCCTCAAATCAACCCCCATGTTTCTCAACACTACAAAGAGGTTCTCAATCCTACAAAGAGGTTTTGTTTAGCGGATTGACCTAATGCAATACATTTTTCGATCTCTTGACTGTTGCTTCCATGAGTATTGATTATGGATCCAAACAAGACAAAATCCTTGACTACTGCAATATTTCCCCATTTATTATGTTCTTTTCTCCCTTTATTATGATGTTACCCATTGGCCCGTTGTGAGGATTTGGGTCTTCTTTACATTGAGTTGTAATCCACACCGAAGGCTGCCATCCTTGATCTTGATCTTCATCATGCTCGTGTCCTCCTCACTATCAGCAAGCAAGGTTGTGTCATCTGCATTTCATGGGTTCTTTATAAGCCTTCCCCCAATCCTGCTGCCACATTCTTCTTCATATAAGCTGAGAGCTCCTCTATTTGCTCAGCGAACAGACTGAACGTACGGTGAAAGGATACAACCCTGACGCGCACCTTTCCTGGTTTAAGCCATGCAGGATTCCCTGGTTCTGTTCGCACAACTGCCTCTTGATCCCTGTGCAGGTTTCACATGAGCACACTTAGGTGTTCTGGAATCCCCATTCTTCTCAAGGCTATCTATAGTTTACTATGACTCATACGCTTGAATGCCTCGTCCTAGTCAATAAAACACAAGTCAACATCTTTCTTGGGAGAAAGCGTTTTCTACTCTGCGAAGAGTGTTGGTCTTGGTGAACTTGGTTCTGTAGGGTTGCTATGAGTTGGCATCAACTCCATACAGTGAGGTTTTTTTTGTTTTTGTTTTTGAGGAACATCTTTCTGGTATTTTCTCCATCTGACATCAGCTATGATGCCCTTTATTCCACATCCCCTTCTGAATCTGGCCTGAACTTCTGCCTTCGATGTACTGCTGCAACCTGTAGTGCATGATCTTCGGCAAAAGTTTACTTGCATGTAATATTAATGATATTGTTCTATAATTTGCACATTCTGTTGGGTCACCTTTCTTTGAAATGGGTACAAATAGGAGTTTCTTCCAGTCAGTTGGCCAGGTAGCTGTTTTCCAAATTTCCTGGCCTAGACGAGTAAGTGCTGCCAATGCTTCTCTTTCAGTTTGTTGAAACACTTCCGTTTGCACTCTGTAACTTTCTGGAGCCTTGTTTATGGCTAGTGCTTTCAGTGCAGCTTGAACGTCTTCCTTCAGCGCCACTGATCCTTGGTCATATGCTGCCCCCTGAAATGGCCGTTCCCTTTGGCACAGTGACTGTGTATTTTTCCATCTCTGTTTGGTACTTCCTGCATCATTCAATATTCCGCCCGTAGACTCTTTCAACACTGCAAACCGAGGCTCGAATTTTCTCCTCAGTTCTTTCTATTTAAGATATGCTGAGTCTGTACTCCCGTTTTGGTTTTCCACCCGTAGGTCTTTGCACCTTCCATTTGTAATATTTTACTCCGCCTTCTCAAGCTGCCCTTTGAAATTTTCTGTTCCGCTCCGTGACGTCACCATTTGATCCTTTCTTTTTCAGGACCTTTTACTTCTGTCATGAATGACGTTCTTGATGTCCTCACCGCCCATCAGGGCTCTGTCACCTGTGTTCTTCAGATGCGCTGAGCATTCAGGTGGGAGGCTCGGCTCAAAGTTTGGCTCTCGTGCACTTGTTTCCAATGTCTTCAGCTTCAGCCTGAACTGACATCAGGGCGAATGATGGCTTGCTCCACCGTCAGCCCGGGACTGCCTTTAGGGGTGGATCCTGAGCCTCTCCATCATCTCTCCCCACAGATGGGAGTCCATTTGATTTCTCATCTGGAGAAGTCCACTTGTATAGCCTTCCTTTTGTTTCACAGTTGGCATTCCAGGAGCCAGTAATTATCAAGGAATCTTGATTGCACGTTTAATCAATTTCATACTAAATTGATGATACAATTATACAATTAATTCATACAAATACTGTTGCTAAAATCCCTCAATTTCTGCATCACTTGCTTTAGTGGTTGGTGCATAGATTTGGAGACTAGTTGCATTAACTGGACTTCCTTGTATGTTCATAGCTAGCATCCTATCACAGAGAGCATGGTACTTCAACACCGATCTTGAAATGTCATTTTTAAGGATGAATTCAACGCCATTCTTTTTTAATCTGCCATGCCTGCCATGGTAACCAAATCACTTTTTGATTCAGAGTGGTCCGTATCAGTCCATTTCGGCTTACTTATGCCTAGGACATTGATCTTTATGGATTCCATTTAACTGTTGACAACTTCCAGTGGTTCATGGACTGTTCTATTGATTAGTTACTTCCCTGTTGGGTCGTGATTGAACTGTTTATTGATGGTTTGACTAGCTGGTTACTTTAGTCACTTGGTTGGTTTATTGTGTTTAACCCATTTACTTATTGTTTTATTTGTGGTTGAGATCTCACGATCTCAATTACTTTATTCATTAATTGATTGATTGATTGATCTTGGGCACCAAGGATGGAGGTCAGTAGAGTGCTCAGCGGAGGTGAGAACATAGGAGAAGCTTGTGGTGGGGAGGGGCTGATAGGGATTCTGGGCCCTCTCTAGGCCAAGCCTCTTGGTGGCTAAGGTCGGGGTACAGGTGGCCGCCCCATACCTGCATCTTGGCCATTTCGTGCTCCATCTGGTGGCCAGCCTCCTCCTGGCCCTTCTGGAGGGCGCTGCAGGCCTCCTTCCTGTCTTGGCTTTCTTGTCTCAGCTTCCCCAACAGCTTGCTCATCCTGGGATGGCATTTGTGGGTCACACAGGCCAACCATGGGGGCAGGGGGTGGGGGCAGGCCTAGCCCTAGGTGGGAGGCTGCAAGGGACTGGGGGGTCTATGGACATATTCTTGGGTCAGGCCTGTCCTGGGGCTGACCTACAGGCCCCTGGAAGGATGCATAACTTCCTAGGTGAACAGGGGTACAGAGACAGGCCCTGACTGTGGACGTGACTGATCAGGGAGGGGTAGGAGGATGAAGGGGGAGAAGCTGGATGGGGGAGGGGAGGCAGAGGGAGAAAGAAATGACAGGGAAAGGGGGCCTGATTGAGGGAGGGGGTGGAAGAGGAATGGATGGGGAAGGAGAGAGATGGGGGAAAGGAAGAGGAGGCAGGGGAGACAGGGAAGAGGAACTGACCTTGGAGAGGGAATGAAGGGGGAAGAACAGAGGTGGAGGGAGGCTAACAGGGAGGAGGAATAGGAGAGGAGCTGGGCAGGGCCTGGGCTAGGCTCCCTTCTCTCCCCCCACATCATCAGTGAGCACTTCCAGCAAAGCAGCTCATCCAAGAGTTCTCCTGAGAAATGCGGGGGTGGGGTGGGGGGGGCGTTCAGGTTGTGGGAGGGGTAGGATTCAGGGGATGCAGGCGGCTGGCGGGGCGGAGTAGTGGGACGCACCTGAGGGTCAGCTCCTGGTCAGAGCTCTTGCGTTCCACGTCCTGCAGCGCCTGCTTCCTCCGGATCTGACCCAGGGCTTCCCGGACCTCCACCAACCTGGGGCCCAGAGTTGCCATCTACAAGGAGCCGCTGCCCCCTTAACCCCAGGGGTGCTCAGAGCGAGGCCCCACTCCCCCTTCCATGAGAATCCCTACTTTGCCAGAACCCTGGGCCCACCTGCTCTCCACCAGCAAGGCCCTCGGCCCAGAGAGCCCCAGAGAGTTCAACATAGGGAGCCCCACAGGTACACACCCAAGCTTGGAGTTCCTCTTCCCAGAGCCCTCAACATGAGGAGCCCCACCCCCAGCCGGCCCCCACTGGGAAGCCTCACCCACGACCAGCCCCACTGGGAAGCCCCGCCCCCAGCCAGCCCCTCTGCAATGAGCCCCTGCTCCTCATCCCCCACATGAAACCCCTGCCCCCAGTGAGCTTCCCACAGTGAGCCCCCAGGAGCAAACAGCCCCCCTCAGCTAGGCACCCCCACCGCTTCCAGTGAACACGGGCCCCGGCATGCCCCTGCCGAGTGGGTGAGCCTCCCCACAGTGAGCACCTCAGGAGCCTGTCCTGCCAAAGCAGACAGCTCACCTCCACAGTGAGCTCCCAGCCTCAGCCCACCCACCCTGCCCCTGCCCCCTTCTGGGGCCTGCAGATCTCTCCCGTCTGGGCCCCAGGTTCACCTGAAGTGGGTGCCATCACCTCCCGCCTGTGCCCATGGGGGGTACCTGTTGTCCAGGGCCTGCATCTGGGTCTGGCTATGGGTGCTGGTGAGCTGCAAGGAGGAAGTGGGGTCTTGGTACTAGCCAGCATGGACTCCGGGGGCCTAAGGGAGCTTGGGGTCGGGTAGCCCGGCTGGTGCCCACCTCAAAGGCCTCATGTTCAGCCCCCCGAGTCACCAGACGCAGCTCCTGCCGCAGCTCTTTCAGCTCGCCCTCCTGCACCTGGACTTGGGCCCGCACCTGGTACAGCTCCTGCAGCAGACCCAGCGTCGCTCGAGAGCACCGGTCCCTGTGGCCCCGGAGACGGGCCACCTCGGTCTGCAGGTCTGCCAACCTATGGTGGCAGGGGCATGTGGGACCGGATCCCTGGCTGTACGGGAACTGTCCCTGCTCCTCAAGCCCCACTCACCACTGCTCCAGCTGCCTCCAGTGCTCAAGGGGTTCCTGCTCGGAGAGCGGAGTGGCCGGCACCAGGCAGCAGCTAGACCCACGCCTCTGCAGGACCTCGTCCAGGTCATCCTCAAAGAGAGGCTGTAGCTCCTCCAGGGTGGGGATGTCAGGCTTGGAGGGGGGTGATGCCCCCCAGGGCAGGCTACTGGTGATGTCTGCCAGCTCTGCACTGGGAAGGCCCGTGGACAGGGCTTCTGATGTCAGTAGGGGGGTGCCTGTCACTGCTGGCTGGCAGAGTCCTTGGACACCTGGCACTGGCCTCAGGGCCAGGGCCGGGTGAGGCCACCGGGGTCAGAAGCAGAGCCCTTGGCTGCCCTTCCCTTGTCATCCAACACCCTCAGCCACCTGAAGAGGCTACAGCCAGAGTGGGTGGGAGTGGCTCCAGGAACAGGAATGACTGGATGGCTAGGGGTTGAGGGGTGGTGGCAGAGTGTACCAGGTAAGGCCCTGCCTCATCCCACCCCTTCCTGAGAATCCTGAGGGGCAGGGTGTTCTGGAACCTTCCCTGCATCCACCCAACTGCCCAACTCCTGCTGCTGCGGGGCCTTCAACTGCCTGACTGGCAAGGGCTCAGGGCACCATTGGGGGCTGGGGGAGGAGTGGGAGAGTGTGTTCAGGCCGGACAGACTAATCTGTGCCCTTGTCCCACGGTCACGCTTACCTCAACACCGCCCCCTCCCAGGTGTGGGCGCCCCAGTTAAGACAAAGAAGAGGAGGTGAGACGAAGCTTGTTTCTTGTGTTTAATGCGACATATCCAAAATATTGTTCTAACACATTGTTCATACAAAAGTTGCTGGGGTACAGATAAACGAGGTTTGCAGGCTGTGGCCTTGAGATCACACTGGTGATGGGCTTCTGGCCTGCCCCCATCCAGGCTCCCCCGGCGGGAAGGGTGGGGACTTACAGGGAGTGGAGGCCTACCGGGTGTCCAGGCACCTGGCCTGCACTGAGCGGGCCCACTGCCCAGCCCTGTAGGACAGGCCAGAGCCCTAGTCCCAGAGTCCAGCACCACCTGATGGTGGGCTCGTGTCCCTAGCCAGCTTGGACCAGCGCTGCTGCCCTCCAGCAGGGGGCTGTATTCTCACCACCACTTGGTGGTCTTGTGAGTCCCGTGATCCCAATGTCCAGCCCCGCCCACCTCGGCTTGGGAGGGGGCACTGACACCAAATCTGACTCACCCTCGGAGGATGGGAACCAGGTGACAGGCCCAAGCTGAGGGTGCACGGGGGGATTGCAGTCCAGCCTATCTGCAGTCATGAGGACCTCCTGGGCCCATGGGTCCCCCCAGCTGTCACCTCGGTCTGAGCCAGGGCTGTCCATGCTGGCCCTAGCCAACCCCATGGCCCGGAGAGGGGGTCTGTGGTGGGGCCACGCAGTGGTGGCCTCAGGGAAGCCAGCACACAGCCATCTCGGGTGCTGACAGGGTCACACAGGGGGAGGCCCTGGGGTCATAGAGGAGAGTCTTAAGGGTCACACAGAACTTTGGGCCCTGAGGTCAGAGGGGCAGAAGCAGCAGAGGGGGCCCCAGGTCAGTCTCTCACAGACACATGCACACGACCCACCCCACATAAACCCACATGCATACACCCCACCCCACCCCACATACACCCACATACATACAACCCATCCAACATAGACAACGTGCACACGACACCCCCACCCCCACACTTTCTCCTCACAGACCTGTCCCCAGCTCCCAGCGGTACCCAACAAGATGTCAGGGACAGCCAGGTGGGTGGGCAGGATAGGGGCGGTGTCTGGGAGGGCCCCTCACCCACCACCGCCGCCTCCCCCCCGGAGTGGGCAACGAGACCAGGGGCACCCAGAAGCTGGGGCGTGGGGATCTGAGTGGCGCAGGGACGGCAGGGGACTCATGTCTGGGCCAGCGAGAGCTCCTCCAGGCCACCTCGGCCCAGCCGGTACCTGGCGAGGTCCTTCCTGGTCACCAGCCCCACCACCTGCAGGACAGCCAGCCATGGCCCGTCTGAGGCGCCTGACAACTCAGGGACCCATGCATGGGGTGACCCCAGGCACCAGGCTCTTGGCCGGTGTAGCCCCCACCCACCGGTCCCACTCACCTGGTTACGGTTGTCGACCACGACCAGGTGCCTCAGGCCCAGGGCCCGGAACAACTTGAACACTCTGGGCAGAGACGCTTCCTGCGGGGACAGCGGCTCAGCCCCCACCTGTGGCAGGAGCTCTCCCGCCCCCCACGCGGCGTGCTGTGGTGTGGCCCCGCACCTGCGGCACGGTGTAGGGTGAGGGGTTCATGAACTCGGACAAGTCCACGCTGCACTCGCGCTCGTCCTGGGACACATGGATGGACTGGATGGGGGGGAAGCGGGGGTAGGCATCCCGGAAGTCCTTCAGCCTCAGCCGCCGCTGGCCCAGGTGGGAACGCTCCACAAACACCTGTCGGGCAGCAGGCAGCAGCGTGGTGGGGCAGAGTGTGCGTGGCGGGGTGGGGGGGCCCACCTGCCCGCCCACTGTGGAGTGGCCCTGCCTGGCGGCCAGCGCACCTTGTGCTTCAGGAGCACGATGAGCTGGGAGCGTAGGATCAGGCCCTGCAGTCGGGCAGGCTGTGAAGACAGGGGCGGCAGTCACCACCGGGGAGAGGGCCGGGAGGCCCTGTTGACACAGAGGTCTAGCGCTGACCCCCAGCCAGGGGCTCTGCGCCTGAGTCCCCACTCCTTTCAGGTGCTGGCTGCTGCAGCACCCTCAAGAGGAGCAGGGCTAAGCGTGCCCTGTGTGGGGTCTGCCCACCTGCAGGGCCCCAGTACCTGGGTGTCATCAGCGTCGTCCACCACAGGGAAGCCGTTGTGGTTGGACGTGGGGTCCTTGAGCACGTCCACGATGATGCCCACCTTCTCGGTCCTCCGCAGGCAGGTCACAGGCGTGCTCATCACCTCTCTGGCATGGAGCAGCCCTGTCGGCTGTGGGGTGGCAACACCCCGGCCCATCCTCCCACAGCAGACCCCCCCCCCTTCATCAGGGGACAGACACGTGCCCTTGAGGCGGCAGGGGGTACCTGGCGGTGAGTGAGTGAGAGGTGACTGGGGCCTCCCAGTGCAGGAAGGGCACACTCTGCAGCTGGATGTGCATGTCGTACAAGCCCTGGGGTTGGGGACACGTGGTATATCACACCAGGGGCCTGGATCCCAGGAGATCCCAGGACGCATGCAGGGTGAGCCCGCACCTCGATGAAGACATCGCCCACGATCTTGGCGGTCATGAGGACCAGCATGATGGGGAAGCCGTAGGTGACATTGCTGGTAGCCTCCATCATGATGACTGTCAGGCTCAGCGTCATCCGCACGATTCCGCCTGGGGGGAGGGGGTGGGCCGGGGTGACCAGCAGTCAGGGGAGCACTCGAGGCCCAGAGAGGTGAGAGGCCTCTGCTTGGTGCCCACTTCAGGCTGGCCAGGGACTTGAGGCAGTTGGGATGCATGCAGCTCCTCTCCGAGCACAAGCGGGTACCCACTCCCCCCACCCCACACAGTGCACAGACTGCCCAGCAACCTGTGCCAGGCCTCACTCACCAAGTTGGGCAGCAGCTCCCATCAGGGCATACTTGCCGGGGTCCGCCCAGACCTGCAGGAAGGTGGGGAGCGGAGTGATACTGGGGTGGTGAGAACTATCCTACCAGAGCGCGACCACCACGCAGCCTAGCGCTCCAGCATGCTCCCCTGGTGTGCCCACCTGTGCTGTGAGGTCCCGTTCTGCAGGGCAGGCCCGGCCCCTTGCTCATGGTGGTGCCCCCCTTGGTACCCCCGCCTCCCATGCTCCCCTCAGCAGGGGACCCCCTCACTCACCACAGCTCCCAATTAGCACCCCACCCTGCTCCCCAAGGTCCCTGGCTAACAATGCCTCCTCCCCGGACCTCCCATGTTGTGGCAGCACCTCCCCACTCTCTGCGGCAGACACCCCTTTCCTGCTCCTCAATGGTCGGTCAGTCCCCTCAGCAGGGCAGCCCCTGGCTGGCCACCTCCCTTTTCTCACCCCCCACACTCACCGCAGCCCCGGTGAGGTGGGACAGGGAGATGCCGAAGAGCCGGCCCCAGGCAGCGCCGATGAGCAGCGAGGGGATGAAGACGCCGGCGGACACGGTCAGCCCATAGGTCCAGCAAGCCAGGAAGAAGTAGGCCAGTGTGAAGAGGCCGAGCGTCAGGGGGTTGTAGGAGCCTGCGGGGTGGGAGGCTTACCCAGGGCCCAGGCACCGCCCATGCCCCACCTCTTCCCGTCCCACGGGCTCCTAAGTCTGGGGTGGGGGTAGGGGAGCTCTCCCTCAGCATCTGGGAAAGGAGGGGTGGGCGCACCTGGCGGGCTGTGGAAAAGGCTGACCACACTCTTCTCAGGGGTGTTGAAGAAGGCGGCTGCCATGGTGTTGTACTCGCCATCTGCGCAGAAGAGCTGGGGGGGCGGGGTGAAGGAGAGCCCGTGAGTGGGTGGCACCATGGTGGGGAGGGCTCTACCACAGGGCGGCTCTAGGACCACGGGCACTTCCGCGTTGGGGAGAAACTGCCCGTGTTCAAGGCCTCGTGGGCCCCGTGCTGCTGGGTCGGGCCACTTCACCGGGGCCCGGGCTCAGCTGCTTACTTAGAGGCATCTCGTGTGAGGGGAGACGGGTAACACCCGACCCTGGGGGGCAGTCCTACTCGATCCTGCGGGGCCACTGCCCAGCACGGTCTCCAGGTTTGTCCCTGCCACCAGGACTCCCTCCCTGTGGCTGAGCTCCCCAGGGAAGCAGAGGACAGAGCCTCGCTTCCAGGGCAGACCCCTTCTTGGCTCAGGCATCCTGGGGGAGGGAGGTGTGTCCTTCCCCAGACACCTGGGAGAGGACTCACCCCCAGCCCTCCCCCTTCAGGGCAGGGGAGCTAAGGGGAGGGCAGGGTCCCAAGGGCCCGGGCCGGCACCTGGAGCGGGTAGGACATAGCATTCCCCTGCAAGGGCTGGCAGTCCCGAGAGGAGTAGATCATCACAAAGGCCACGGTGGCCGTGACGGCGGCCACCAGGACGGCCTCAATGACCTGCAGGCAGGGCCGGTGGATGTACCTACAGTGGGAGGTTGAGGGGCCTCTGCATGGCGGGCAACCACGTGGACACATATGGACACCTGCACACGCACACGCGTACACACAAGCCACACACAGGCACACACACCACAGAACATTACAAACCCAGCTGTGCCTCCCCGGCACAGGGGCTGTCGATGCCACACGCTAGGGCCACCACGCATTGCGTGCTGGGCTGCCAACCTCGGGGTCAGAGGCTGAGGCCACCAGCTCTGTGGGAGAAAGCGCCCTTCTGCTCCCTAGAAGATGGATTTGGTTCTCCTGCCTCCTCCGGGGCCAGTGTTCTCAGGCATGGACTCGGGGCAGCGGCTTGCTTGGGGTTTCTGCTCATGGTGATGCCTCCCAACCCATCACCCCACTCTCCCTGTCGGGGCCCCAACAGGCTGGCTCGTCTCATGAGGCAGAGTGACCTCAAATGGAGCACCCTCCCCAGTCTCCCTGTCAGAGTCGCCCCCTAGTGGTATTCCAAGAGGAGAACACACAGCCACGTGACGTGCATGTTCATAGACACATCACACACATGCTCACCCAGGGGCAGCCCCTGCAGTCCCACTCCCGTCCATCAGACCCCGGCCCAGGTTTACCCCTCACCCCACTCCACCCCGGGTGTCCCCAGCCCAGCTCCTCCCATGTTGACAGCTCCCAGCAGCCCCTCAGGGCCCTGCACATCATGGGGACCCAGCTGCCCCCAGCCTCAGCCTCAGCCAGCGGCCTTACCTGATGCGGAACATGGTCAGCCAGTAGTTGAGGGCGTTGAACACAGCTCCCAGGACGCCCCCTGCACACAGACAGGCTGTGTCGGAACACCCCAACCCCATCCCCTGCCCCCGGTGGGGACGGAGCAGCCTCAATCACAGGGCAGCGGGGGTGGGGTCGGGGAGTGAGCAGCTCACCAACAACTCCCATGGCGATGAAGATGGGGATCTCGTGGATGGTGTAGACCACCTTCTGGGTGTGAGGGAGGGGCCGGGTGTCAGGATGCCCACACACAGGGACACCCCAGCTCTGTTGTCTCGGGGGCAGGCAGGGACCAGCACTGGCTTTTCTGAAGTGCTGACCGCTCCTAGCCCACAAGTTAACAGCCTCGTAAGGGCCTGAGGCAGTTGGGTGCAGGGTGGGAGATGGCCCCAGGACACCCTTGCAGGGGATCCAGCCTGTCCCCCTTCGCACAACCTGGAACCTGTGCTTCTAATGTGAGTGCGTGCGTGCGTGTGTGTGTGTGTGTGTGAAGAGTAGGTTCCTGTGGACATGTGAGCACCCTGAGCTCACAGATAGAGCCTGGCCCCCTGCAGCCCCGCCTGGCACTGACCTCGGTGTCAAACCTGCCGAAGTTGATGAGGCCGGGGTTGGAGAGGTCCCAGGCGTTGCCGTGGTAGATGCTGAGCACGAAGTTGAGGGTGAAGGTGGAGATCATGGAGGCGAAGAACTGGGCGGGGGAGAGGTGGCTGTCAGGGAGCAGGAGCAGTGAGGGAGGGGCCCCAGGGAGACCCTGTGGGGCGTGATGAATGAGGACTGCCAGGGAGGCACTAGGGTGCACAGATCTGTTCTCCCCTGGGAGGCTGAAGGGCAGTGGGGACAGAAAGGAAATTTCTAGGACAGCAGGCCAGCTCGCCAGGAGGTGGTCAGCCAGCCCCTGGGTCAGAGAGCCTGGGGGTTGGGGGTGAGCAGGGGGGTCACACCCCACACTCACAATCCTCCAGGTCAGGAACTGGTTCCAGAAGGAGGCACCTTCCTCCAGGCTGAAAAGGACACCGCCTGCAAGGCAAGGGCCGCCTTGATGCGCCTGCCCAGGCCCACGCCTGACTGCACCCTATGCTAGCCCAGGCCTGTGGGGGCAGGGGCCTCGTCAGTCCACTCCCTAGCCATGGCCCTGAGCCCAGCATGCAGGCAGCCCTCTTACCCACGGGGGCCCCGAATGCAGCTGAGACGCCCGCTGCAGCTCCGGCAGAGACAAAGTCCCGCTTCTCTGTGTCTCTCCGGAAGTACTCAAAGATCTGGGGGGGAGGTACAGTTCAGGCTCTCCCTCAGAAGGAAGGGGGCCACAGGGACTGCCGGGGGAGGTGGGGAGGCAGAGGCAGAGGTGGGAGGAGGCTCTTTGGGGATTCACAGGAGCTCTCAGGGGCTGCCCAGTCTGGGCCCCCACATGGGACCGACCTTGAAGTCGCGCTTGAGGGAGGTGGACCTGCCCTGGGAGATGCCTGCAGCGATGACGGCGCCTGAGTGGATCATGGGTCCTTCCTGGAGGGCAGCGTGTTCAGATGGGGTGGTGGCTGGGACAGGGTGGGGGCAGGGTGGAGCAGGGCGGGGCCTTACCTTGCCCACGGCCAGGCCACCCACCACAGACAGGATCACTCCCGACACTTTGATCACCAGGGTCTGGGACACAAGGAGACAGTCTGAGACCAAATTGCAGACAGAGGCCGAGATGGGGGCCCTGCCCTACTCACCAGAGCAGAGGCCCCTCAACCCCAGGCCCTGGGAGCAGTCACCGGCCTTTGCTCACCTTGAGCCGCACCACATGGGGGATCTTCACCCCGTTGAGAAAGCACTTGATCTGGGGGATCCCACTGCCCGCTGCTACTGGCTGAAACAAGGGGTTTCCACTGATGGGGGACCCAGGCAAAGGGCAATGGCTTCCTCCCCCTCCCAGGGCCCCATGCCTTGGATGAAGAGAGTGGGGGCAAAGGAGGCAGGGTGCTGGCGGGGCTGTCAAGAGAGGAGCTGGTGAGAGTGGAGCGAGGCAGGCCTGGCCTTGGGCCACTGTCCCACATGAAGGGACCTACCTGGCACCTTCTTCCACCTGCACCTGGAGCGGCCTTCCCACTTGCCGAGACCCTGCCCAGAGCACCCCAAGACCCCACCCCCTCCCTGGCCCTGCTGACCGCCACCCGGGGTCCTGGTGCGGGGACAGGTGTCCTTGCTGGGGGTGTAGGGGGAGCCCCTCAGGATCCTAGCATCCAGTTCACTGAAACAACACCCACACCGTATGGTTCTGCCACAGGTGACGGGGAGGGCCTTGTCTGGAGGGCGTGTGTAGGCACTGAGGCGGGGCCCCAGCCGGCCCCTACCTCCACGAAGGCGACGATCAGTGAGCCCAGCAGCACGAAGGCCGAGTTGAGCACCGCCCACAGCAGGAGGGAGAAGGACAAGCCGCCATTCTCCGTGAACTTGTCGATGTCTTCGCTAGTCAAGGAGGGCAATGGGCCCTGGACCCAGTGTCCCACCCACGGCCCCCCGCTCCCGCCCACTCAGGGGCCGGCCCGGTGCATGTGCCAGGGGGGATGGATACTGTCCTTGATGACCCTGTACTTGAGGCCGGCCAGGTTCTCCACCACGATGTCAATGAAGCAGGCCACCAGGCCCGTGAGGATGCCGATGAGTGCACAGATGACCCAGCGCTTGATCTCCACCGTGCGGAAGGCCTGGGGCAGGGCGGCTTCAGTGAGGGGGGCTGCGGTGTGCCTCAGGCACCACGCTGGGCCAGCAGGCTGAGGGCGGCTCTGCCAGTACTTCACAAGGAAGCTGTGGCAGCACACCTAGGCAAGGTTACCCAGAGGGGCGGTGCCAACCTACCAGGCAAACTCAGCTACTGGCGCACGCGCTCAGCCTCTTAGCTCCTGTGGCCAGGACCGACCCCTGCCCCCCTACCCCTGCCCCCCTGCACCCAGCCAAGCACAGCAGGGCAGTCTGGAGCCTGGCTCTGCCCACGGTGGGTCCTCACTGTGTGGTTGATGCGTCTCTCCTCCTCCAGGAAGAGCTGGTTCTCGCTGTTGTCATAGTCCAGGCTCTGGGGGCCAAGTGGGGACAGAGCAGGTCACCAGGGGTAGGGTGGGCAGTGGCCGGGCAGGGCTGGCAAGGGAAGGGCTCACCTCATATTTCAGGGACAGCAGCTTCTCATTGTGTGGAATCTCCTTGGGAAAGGGCTGCAGGGGCTCCGTGTCCTATGGAGTGGAGCGCACCATGCCGCTGAGTGCTGGGATATTGGGGGTAGGATGGGGAATACAGCCCATGCACAGGCCGAGACCGGTGTGAGCTGGCCAGGGGAGCTCCGAGCGGACAGGGCTTGTCCAGGTACGCAGCTGCACCCACTGGTGTGCCACACGCAGCACAGGACCCCTCAGGAGACACAGCACCAGGAGGGCTGGCGCCAGAGACAGGCAACCTTCAGTGCTGGGGTGGAAGTGGGCCCGTGGCGACCTCTGACCTTCCCAGGGCCCCGAGTTGGGCTTCTGGGTGTGTTGACATCAGATGGTGGGAGGCGTGGAGGCAGCCCTCACCCGACACCAGGATGAACACTGCGACCATAGCTAACCTACCGCCACTGCAGGGCCTTTCCCGCCACACTGGGCCCACAGGGCAGCACTGAGCTGCCCACAGGAGCGCCAAGGCTGGCATTCTTAGGGAGCAGGTGGCTTCATTGTCCTTGGATTAAAACTGCTGACCTTCCGGTTAGCAGCCCCACACTTACCCCACTGCACCTCTGAGGGGGTCTCTGTAGTTAGACAAGACCCCACCTTGTCTCCCGGCAAGGAAATGGCTTTGAGGCAGGGCCACAGCACCCAGGAGGGGAGGGGACGATCAGCAAAGGGCCGGGCCTGGGGGGTCCTGTTGGAATCCTTGCTGATGAGGTCCTGGGAGTCAGCCCCAACCCTCTACCGGCCTCCTCCACTCACCGGGTCCAGGAGCTCATCATCCGGCTCCGTGCTGCTCATCGGTCCTGTCCGGAAACTCGCCAAGCGGGCCGGCTAGAAGCAGAGGGGCAGTGAGGGGAAGGGACAAGTGCAGGACCCCTGGGAGAGCGCAGAGGTCAGCATGAGGCCCGGTCAGGGGTCAGGTGCAGCAGGCTCTGAGCTGGGTACGCCCAGTCTGCATGCTGCAGCCACACACCAGCCCGACGCGGAACACTCAGGATGCAAAGCTTCCCCGGTCCCCATGGTCTCTGTGTCCCAAACAAGCATGACCCCCTCCCAGTCCCAGCACTGACCTGGGCTCCCTGCTCGTTGGGTCTGGGCACAGCTCTGCCAGGCGGCCCCCTGCACTCCCAGCTCCCACGGGCTTCCCTTTATAAGCCCTCCGCTGCCCTCTCACATGACCGTGACTCGCTGGCTGACCTCATCCTCCTGTCCCAGCTGAGCAGGGGCACAGGGAGCAGCCCACCTGGACTGAGCTGGAGCCGGGACTCAGGGATGTCCCCAGTCTGCCCCACCTAGCCATGCCCACCCTCATATCCAGCACAGGAGCAGCCATGCTGCCTGGGGCTGAGATATCCTGGGAGGAGGAGGAACCTGCCCACTGCCCAGCCCTGGAACCCTGCCACATGCCCTACCCCCACCCCAGGGCTGCACGAGGTTCTAGAAGAACTGCTACCACCCCAGCCTACGGATGCGGCTGGAAGGGGCTGAGCTGCCTGCTACCTTTACAGAGCCTGCTTTCAGCCTCCTGGGCTGACACCTCCCAGGGACCTGGGAAATGCAAGAAGCTCTCTAGACACTGAACTTGCTGCTCTTTAAAACACCGTGCAAGTGGCTGAGGGACAAATCCAGAACAGAGGGGGAAAGAGAAGGCAAAAATAACTGCAAACCACACTAAGTCCAAGTCACCAATCAAACAGTTAACAGGTCAGCATTATTCATGTGCCAGGATGTCACCTACCACACACACACACACACACACACACACACACACACACACACAGAGGGTCATGAAATCCTTCTTCAAACCTTGGGAGCCAATTGACAGCCCTACATCCCAGCCACTCTAACTGGTGGCTTGGTGTGTTTGGCCGTACATTTCGAGTATGTCATCTGTTAAATTGAGGGCAATGCCCACCCCCACCCCCAAATACACCCATTAGGCTGGGCCATAAAGCTCAGTGGCTTTTCAGTTATGTGATATAACAGTTTAGTAAGGATGTACAGTGAACCCTCACCACTTCACGCTTCAACTTCCGCGGCTTCACTCTATCGCGGTTTTTGCGTAACAGCGCATGCTCTGTCA